AAATATCCGAAAAAACACAAACTTAGCCACAAGAAAGAAAAATAGAAACGTTTTCCGCATTTTCCTGTCTGGTTGGATACGATCTGTGAGATCCAAGAGTCCTAATAAAAATATTTCTCCGACAATAGGTCTTTGTATGTTCTGAAAAGAGCAGTTTGTCTTGTGTTCATTTGTGTGTGTTTATGAAAGAGGGTTTTTATATCTGTTAAAGTGCATTCAGACAAACAGGAGGGGGCAGGAAATATGGCTCAATGGCAAAGTGGTGTGTTTTTGCCAGTTTCCCTCTATGTTTGTTAGATAGAGATGGAAAAAGAGAGGGGGGGGGGGCATCCTGAGACGCTTCAGGCTGCTAAGGCTTTAATTTAATGGCAAATATTTGCATATTATATGTACACAAAGTGGCCAAATATCTTCTCATCCAAACATTGCAATTAACCTTGCTTCCAGCAGATACCGATCTTCGCTTTAAAAGGCAGTAACCCAAATAATCCTGCTCAAAATCCACCGTATAACCAGAAGCAGCAGTTTAGTTTGTCCTGCCTCCCCCTCCAGGAGATCACAAAACGGTCAATGTGGCCTCGATGTGAGTGAGAGAGCTTGAAAGATAAAACTGTATCAAATAATTGTATTACTTCACAGAGCATGATGTTCACCAACTTTAACTCATCTATTATTTAGGAGTATCCAATAATGATAGGCTGAGTAATAAAAAAGGTAACTAACTTTAAAAATTAGAATTTAAATTATACAGCACTTAAAAGCAATTTGTGGGAAAAAAGGAGGAAACAGTGGGTTTCAAAATGTTTATATTAACACAATCTGAATATATATAAATAAATATATATATATATTAAAACATAACTGGCAAAAAAAAGTATTACTATGCTCACATAACTTCCAGAACACAGTGCTTTTCTCTCTGTTGTATGGATGCGTCCTCAGATGGCGGCACAGTTTACTATTGTGTGTATTATATTGGAGTTCTTTCATTTATAAAATAAAGAATGACCCTGATGAAGACCACGTCGGTAACTTATTAACGTTTTATCTTGGATTTAGAAAATCTCCGTGGCGATTTGTAGTACGGCAGCTGTTACAAGTTTAATTTGTCATAATTGCTGTTAATGAGAGGGAGGAGATTCCCCCCCGCCCTCACCTCTATAAATCACCTCCTGCTTAGATCTCTTGACTGGTACATTCTTAACCTTTGACCTCCGTCGGACTAAAAGGTCGTCGTCACTGTGGTAACTAAAACGCCCGACTCGCTCTGCCTTAATTAAAAAGCATTATTTACTCGGAGAAAATTTCATCTTCTCTACCTCTGACCTCTCTCTTCCTCTTCCTTTCTCCTCCTCGTCCTCCGCCCTCTGTGTCGGTTAACTGTCGACATGCTGGGAAAGCCCACATCTCCTGAAAGACTACGCTCTTGTGACTATTGTGCCGAGCCTGTCGTCTCGGCCGAGGCGGTACATGTGTGTCTCATCATGTGTGTGTCTAAGGTGTGTGTGTGTGTGTGTGTGTGTGTGTGTGTGTGTGTGTGTGTGTGTGTGTGTGTGTGTGAGTGTGTGTCTGAGTGTGTGTTTGCAGCAGGGTTAAGCTCTAACAGAAGACAAAGCCACAACCTTCGAGGCTGCTAAGCAACAATGCTGACTGGTAAAGCCTCATCAGGGCACCGTTTAGCAAAGGATTAGGGACTATTACACACACATAAACACACACACACCCAAAAACATAGCCTAATCAACTAATTAATTCAAACCGCAGACCACTTTAACTTTTGGTGTGTGTGAAAGCTACAGTTCACTCTTCCAAATCAACTCATCCATGTAAACTATTTTTCTCAGTGAAAAACTACAACTAACTTTCCTTTGATTTCTTTTAATCTCTTAATCTTTTCACCTTTCTCTCACTTTGTCATAACTAACACAAGTTAACAAAAAAAATACCTACATTTTTAAGCAAAACGCACTTGACACAAAACACAGAGGGTGATAAAGTAATCTGAAAACTGTTTCTGAGGAATGTATGCCAGAAAAGGCAAGGCAGCAAGAAAACACATACACACAATCACTGTCCCATCAATATATCCTCATCCTCCTGTAGAACCAGACTTTTCATATGTAGAAGCAATGACCCATTCTCTCATCCTCCCATCAACCCCTCTTTCATCTCACTACTGATTTCTGTCCAGCGAAAAGGGAATAGAGGGGGCAGAGATGAGTCAGAAGAGAGGAGAGGAAATGTCACACAAATATATGTGTTCATTGCATGGGGTCAGCATTGTGACATCTGCGTAGTAATGGAAGACAATTATATTGAACAAAAATGATTTCCTCTGAAAGAAGCATCATAATAAAAGTGCAAGAATTATACTGATGATCTAGAATCAAGATTGTATTGCATACAGTATATGTTTTTACCATTCCTTGTATTTTAACATTTTATTTGTTAATTCGTGTTTGCATACATGTTTGTTGTTCTATGTTTATCTTTGGTAGATGTTTTATTATACAGCTTTGGATTCATGATCACTAATGGCAATGAGGAAAGGAAGGAACAGACGTAGAAAATATACTAAACATAAGAACCCACATTAAAGGAGGATTTACTGCTGGCAACTAAATGCAGGTATATTGTGTTGGTTGGTTGGTTGGTTGGTTGGTTGGTGGTAATTTGACGCTTAATCCCCTGTACTCCTGCATCTTAACATTGTGGATCAAAGTGGAAGCACATCTTGAGAACTTTCTCAGTTCACTCCCCTTGTCACTCATTCACTACTCCCTACTCAAAATACATTCAATTGTTAACTTGAATGAGTCATTCTTGAGTTGTGTCACTAGTGACGGGCCTGGAGTCCCACAACATTTATAAAATACAATGCAATTCATTGTGGAAGTTAGAAGAAAGTATTTTACACACGTACGTGGACACCACTTTTATCACAGGAACATTTGAGACAAAAACATTGAATTAATTAGTTACTGTATCATTCACATTTAATTTAGTTAACTGTAACATCATGGTCTCATTCTTATAATAGGAAATAAACTAAAGTGACCTTAACTACCCTGAAAAAAAGTGATCTTGATTGACATTGCAAAAATTAACAAAGACTATTGGTGCAAGACTCGTCATCATGACTTCAATGACCAATAAGAGGATTTTTACCTCATCTAAATACATTGTAAAAGAACAACACCTACTGTAATACAGTTTATAAGCATGTCACACTAAATGGTTTTAGACACATGTTGGATGTCAACATAATTCAGGCAGAAATAATGTTTCCTCTAACACCTGACCTCAGTTTCATTTAGCCCTCAAAGCTCTTAACCATGGCGCTGAGCAAACACATCCAGCAAGTACTCACACAAACACACACACACAGAATTTCCAAGCTCCCAAAAAAGTGAAAACATAATTTTCATAATAGCAGGTTGAGCAAGTGTTCATTTATAGCCGTGCTGTTGTAAGAACCAAAGTCGGTCCAGTCTGCATACCTTCTAACCTCTAAATAAAACTTAACAAGATTCCACTTCAGAGGTTCTCAAGGCTTTCTTGTTGTGTTTTCTAAAAATAAAAGTACACTGTTGGGGGTGTAGAAGTAGACATGAGATTTAATATTGTCCAAACAGCCCTAAATACTATTGGCTAAGCCTCCGTGGTTGATGTTCAATATGAATGACTTCCATATGTCTAAGAATTCTGCTTCTATAGCTTTGTGGCGGCAAAAGCGCCAGCTAGGTTATTTGTATTTTTTCATTGGGCAACTTTCTGTTGATTTTTCGGAAAATTCTTTATTTCTTTAATTCTAATTTGAGATCTTCTACTGAGGAAAAAAACACAATCAAAAGACAACATTATGAGTGCTGTGAGACCGAATGAAGTGTGTGATCAGTGAATATATGAAACCAACTAGGGATCCTCTGCTACACATATACCTGGAGAACTGAGGCTTATACACAACATACACACAAACAAGCAAAGTGCACACGCAAGTCTAAACTAACAAATGCACACACACACAACGCGCACAGAGAGGCCGCTTGTCTGCAACAGCTGAGCAGAGAGCAGTATATCCGAGTTGTATTTTTACCTCGGCCCACACGCTGAGCAATATGCCAACTCTTGGCCTTGAAAAACACACACACACACTCTTGCAGAAACACAGACGCACATGCAGACACACACCCATAGACGACAGGTCAAGCCCAGCAAACCACTGGAGCAGCCGCAGAACATAAACAACTTTCACACACTCTCTGAATCATCTGAGCATTTCAATATTGTTTAAGATAAATATATGCAGCCACACATATAAATATATTCAACCATAATTATTCCCTGGGACCACAAACAACCATGACGGGAAGGTAGTTCCCACAGTTTCAGCAGCATTGCTGCCCAGCCCTACAGTTCTGGAAATCCACAGATCAGTTTACAGCACAGACGCTCAGCTGAAGAGTGGACGGTGCCTGGCGACAACAAACTGCAGTTTAAGGGTTTTGAATGCAAACTGACACATTTATGTTCTGTAACTGAGACTATTTTTTGTCTGTGAAACATACAAATGTAACTTTAGAAGAGAACACACACACACACACACACACACACACACACACACACACACACACACACACACACACACACACACACACACACACACACACACACACACCTCCCAGTGGGCAGCAGCTGTTGGAGTGCTAATCTCCATTAGCTACTGAACTGGCTTCTATGAAGAGGGCCATTTAAAATATGTTCCCTCACTCCTTCATCTAAGTGAAAAACCACGGCTATGCGTAACCAAGACAACCAGATTTGTTTCAAATCGCAGTCAATGTTCTGCACAAGCTTGTGGTAATACACAAAAACACACACAATTTCAACAATTCATCCGAGTGATCTCAGGCCTTCTTTGGAAGTGAACAATACTTCAGATAACAATGCAGAGAAATCGAGTGATGGATAGAGAAAGAGAAGAAAAAAACAGGACTTACAGTCTGTAAAGTTTTGTCGTTCCCAGGAAAAGCAGCTCGGGGAACACGGCCAGGTTATTCCGATTCAGGCGCCTGAAAAAACAGAGTATAAATTAGGAAATAACTCAACATAGGCTTCCAGAGAGTGGTTACATGTGTGTATAATTAGCTTTTTAAGGTGATATTTGTGTTTCCTGTTCATCATATCACATTGTATGTTGTTGTGTTTTGCTTGTAATACAACTCAGTGTTACAGGAAGCATGAACATAAGAAGATTGATGGGGGCATTAAAAGCACACACATGTTCACGGGCAGAAAAACAGACTCCCAGTCGCCCCTGATTTAAGGGGTACAACATGGCTGCCAGACAAACAGTGAACTCGAGAAGGACGAAGGGAAGGCAGGGGGGGGAAGATGGGAGAAGGGGTTCAAATGTAATGGGGGTGTGGGGGGACCTTTTTTTTTTTTTACCACAAAGGCGGAGAAGAGGAGATGATGTGGGAAAAACAAACAGGCAGTCTGGCCGGGCTACCGAATGTGTGAAAAGGACCCCACTGAGTAAACAAGGCCCTCACAGGGGAAGAACTCACAACAACCCGTCATCACACACACTCTCACAAACACACACACACACACACACACACACACACACACACACACACACACACACACACACACACACATACACACACACACACACACACAGGAGTTGAGAGAACTCGGGTGAGTTTAATAATCTGGGTGCGATCATTTAACCCTGGTCGAGTGGAGTGAAGAGGTTTGTATGCCGGTGTGTGTTGCTGTGTGTGTGGTTGTGCCTTGATGTGAGTCAGAGGAGAGTGAAGCAACTGAGTGACACAATGAAAGACAGGCTGCTGAAAAAGTTTAACCCCGACACACACTCTCTCTCACACACACACACAAACACACACACACACACACACACACATACATTGACAGCCCACGGAAGGATGCTGCGCCGGCTGTTACTGGAGGAGAATTAAGAGAGGGGGTAAGGAAATGAGAGATGGAGGAAGAATGAAGAAAGATTGTTTCAACAAATGAGAAATAGTGTTAAAGGCCCTGACTGAGTTTCTTACAAATGTCCATGAACACAAGCAAGCAATGCACATGTGAATGCTCCAGAACACTTGGTTAAGTTTAGAAAAAAATAATAGTTTGTGTTAAAATAAGTAAGTTATGTAACGTAAAAGTTAGTAAATATAAGTCAACCATTTCTAGTTTTACACAGGACAGGAACAGGTGGTCTCGTGAGTAAAAGTCCTGTATATTTAAACCTTCCAACTTTGTCATCTCACTTCCACTGAGGCAGTTATGCCCGTCCTGGCTAAGGTTAAAGTGCATTATATACGAATATAAGTGAATTTCTTTCCGTATGTATAGGTAGAAACAGCTGAAAAAAGCAGCCTTAACAAAACACTTCAAAAATGTCAACAGTTGTATTCAGACCACCAAAAACCTCTCTTGAAGTGTCACAATGGCCTTCTTATTTTACCTCTTTGTGCTTCACTATAAGCTGCTGTGGACTCTCCTTGAATAACGTCACCCCCTCAGTGTGTCCATCTTCAACCCAGGAGTCCTCAAATATATGAACGTGCCTGCGCTCATGCACACTTCACAGTTACATCAGAGGCCGCTTTAATATTTAACATCCCACAGAATGATGTTTCTAAATTATTCACTTCTCTTCCGTTAAGGCTGGCTGTGGCGGCTAAGAGCCCCACGTGGTCCCATGGAGAGGCCCACTCCTCCTGCAGGTCCTGCCCGACCATGAGCACCCGTTAGTGGGCTAGACCTCCCCTGGGTGAGTGCACAGACTGGTGCTGGAGGTGCGGCGAAGGAGTATGAGCTCATTCTCTTAAAATAGATGCAATGCTGTCAGACTAGGAGACTAAGAGAATGAAGTGAAGACGGTGTTTTATCCAAACCAGTGTCGTTACTCAAAAGTGTCAGGTGCATTTAATTATTTGCTCATAAATGTCAGATAACTTTACCAATCAAGTTTAAACTTTTAACCATCATATATTGCTAAATTTAGGGTCAGAAAACCCTTTTTTAACTTAGTTCAAGCATCACAAAAGATGCCGACAAAACACTTTATTTTATCTTTCCAAAGGGACAGCATTCATGATGTGAAACCAACCTCTACATATTATACACCTCAAAATGTTAGTCCAATGAAGTCAGTCAGCCACTACACTCATTTAACCTATTCTAATAACCTGTTCTTCATTTTCTGTGCATCTATTTATCGTTTCAACCCCAACTACCATAAACCCTTGCATCGTTGTTATAAGAGACAAAAAAAACGTTGCAGTATAGTTCCTACAGCTTAAGATTTAGTGTTTAGGAGTTGTTCATTTTTGCCCAGAACACCTCTACTGTCCCTCTACAAGTACTAACAGACTCTGACACAAATAATCTAGTGGTCAGTAGTGATTTAGTGGCTTGTTTCTTGACCTGAAGGAATGTATTATAGTGTGTGTGAAGTGTGTGTGAGTGTGCACATAAACACCCTCAGAGTACTTCCACAGTCGTGATTCATTAGTCAAAGTCTGGCTGAAAGTGAATGAAGACCGAGTCGCCAGTACACTGAGGTGTGAGAGTCACTCCAACAAGCTAATGTCACACTGCAGCGTGGTGATAATCCCTACAATCATAAACAGATGCTAGAGAGCAACAAACCACACAGTAAACACACACACACACACACACACACACACACACACACACACACACACACACACACACACACACACACACACACACACACACACACACACACAAGTTTATATGTGTAGCATTACAGGTTTGCAGGCTGTGGCCAGGAAGGAAACAACAAACCAACTCAAAAAAACAATTATTACCCCACCAATGCCACTGCTGCCATAACTCACATTTTATGTCAAAACATGCGTGAGTGTTTGTGTATGTGTGTATATCCACTCCAGCAGTTTGTGTATTTTAGTCAGGAGAGACTGAGTGAATGAATACTTTATTTTATATGTGCACAAAAGTATGAGAGATGTGAATCGTCTTTGTTAATTAGACCCCATCATGATGCCATATGCACTTTACAGGTTAATGCACTGGCATACGAGCTTTAACATCATGGCTATGAAGGCTTTTAAACAGATACCATCCTGCCCAATTTCACAGTGACGCAGGATTCCAGAATGCAGAAATTATTCTCATTAAGCGTATTGAAAAGCTGGTATTTACAACAAAAGTTGGCAGTAGCACAGACAGCCAGTGACTCAGCAATATATACAACTTACTTTTATTAGATAGAACCATTGTAGTGAAAATGGCTTTTGTGTGCAGAACCTTTCAAGCCCTGCAGCTCAATAATAAAAAAAAAAGGCATTGCGAAACTTTGCCCTGAATGATCAGAGAAGCAATGTCTTCACTCGCAGGATTCGGCAAACGCTAATCTAAGACTTTTCTTTGAAATCCATATTCTGCTAGTCTCAATGATGCAATTATCTTTTGATAGTCACATTGTCCACAAATTACACCACACTTAGTGTGAGGTTTATTTATCTAGTGTGTTCATCACTGTTGATATGTATGTCTCACTACCTGTAATCTGTTTTACAATTATTCTTCACTGTTGAAATTACCTTTGACAATGTGATCACTCAACTACAGGTTAATTATCTGAGGCTTTATCTCACCGCTGTTCTCTCAATACCTGTAATTACTATTTCCTTTCTCTCTGCATATCTCTTGCTGCTATCATCTTTAATCTCACACACTTTGAATTGGATAGCAGCTATAAACCAGTCAGATGTGAGAGGAGGATAAGAGGATCAGAAACGCCTCTCTTTCCTATTCTTCATTATCTACAGGGAGAGAGTGAAGAATGTATGACATTCCTGTAAGCACAGGACAATAGAGAGAGAGAGATGGGTGGGTTTGGAAGAAAAACATGAGGAGAGGTTAAAGATGGAATCAATGCGCAAGTGGGGGGCAAAATCAAGATAAAACCAGTACTGACGGAGCAGCCTTGCGTAAGTTAATGCGCGTGCATGAGTCTATCCATACCAATGCATGTTTTTGTGTATGTGCACGTGTGTGTTGTGACATGCCTATCTCCTCCACACCTCCTTCGACCACCGGCCCCTCCTCCATACCCCCCAGCTACTGCCCCACACCTGACCCCACCCTGCCCAGCCCTGCAGGGCCTGTCGCAAAAAAAGAGGATGAGAAGGGGAACCGTTTTCCACCCCGGTGGGGGGCAGTCACTGTGGATCCGTCAGCCCAGCTTAGGGCTCTCTACTCTGGGCAGCGGTGCCCAGCAGGCCCCTATCCAACCCCCAGAGGACGGAGGCCTTTGAAATGAGCCCCAAGACTCCAGACTCCGGAGACGTGCCATTGTCCAGCGGCTGCGGGGGGGCATTGATGACTGACTCCACCTTTGTGTTTGTGAACATGCCACGCCAGAGACGCTGAATTACAGTTGAAAACCCTCGTAAGAACAACAGAAAACAGCCATGTTGTGTCAGAAAGTTAGCTGCTGTCAAAGTGTTTGTTGCCCTCTGATGAAAGACAAAGACAGCATGTATAGTTGGATAGTTGATGTGTAATTCTTTATCTGATGTGGATGTTTACAGACTGATCTACATTGTATGTGTAAGTGTGTGTTGAAGCCTGATTTGCTAATATGTATGCATGAGAGACTTTTTTAACCAGCATGTACCATCTCTTAGCACAGAAGGTAATCACTATCAAAGTTTACAGTTAAAGCCAGAGCATTTCATAGTTAAATATTGGCCTTGTCTAAAGCTCTGGGCAGAAATTCCCAGATCTGCTTAGCTGGACAGATCCCAGCATCGGTTGCATGAGAATCACGATCAGATTCCTATATATTCGCTGTGTCAACAAAGAGTGGCCACAGTGCAGCAGAGAGCAGAGAAAAAACCAGGCACGACACGCCCAAGACGAGAACAGCGGGAATTCATGATACTTCATCCTTCTCAATCCAACCACTCCTGAAGGATTTACCCAAAACAGCCATCAGGAAGATTAACTACCTTCAATTGATTTATTGCTGTTTGTATGCCTGTGTATGTGTACAGGTGGATATTTATGTGTTTACACAGGTATGTCTGTGTTTTTGTAAACATGTGTGTAAGCAGAAAGGATTTTTATGTGTCTTTAATTAAAAGCTTGTCTCTAAGCCTCCTCAGAGCGTCACAGTCTGCTGCATTCCTGTGTGTCATTGGCTGGCAGTCAGGCCACAAACACAGCCATATACAGACAGCTCACACATCAAGCAAAGTTGACAGTCCACACAATAGACATATCAGCAGTCAGAGGTCCGCATCCCCCTTCTGTCCTCTTCTCCCACACACTACCAGGACTTAATTATGCCATAACTGCCTCGGGGTTAGATGCTGAATACCAGTGATTCCCGGCCAACGCCATAACAACCTTTGGCTGTTCACTCTCACTGCGCTGAGACTCAATTCAAATATTCCCTCTTGAGAAAACTGATGGCAGCAGTGAAACATTTACAAAGACATACAGATATGGGGGGTGGGGGCACTCAATACTTTGAAAAATATCTGAATCTGTTGTCTCAAAAATGCAGGACCAAAATTCACAAAATGTGCCTTCTGCTACGATCCACAACTACAAACCAACCAGCCTAAAAAAAACAGGAAATGAGGCGGAAAAGACTGGCAGACCTGACATTTTAGGTTTTTTAAGGGTCTATTTTAACAAGAAAAAGTTGCAGTGATATTGCTCAAGTTTTTTTTAATGTTTCTACAGTGCCACAATATACCAGGAAATTAGCACAATCGTCCTTCAAAATGGACCACAGAGAATTTTATAAAAACAATCTCACACGTATGCAATGCCACAATAATCAAAAAGAAAATGAGGGAACAACGGAACAATAACGTTCTTCCGTACAAAAGCTCTGCACACTTATTATCCTTTCATTTGTCACCTTTCTGTACATGTGCATATCCAAATATATGAAAACAAAACATGTGTATGCTTCAGGGAAAAGCATTATGATAAAGGATTATTTTTAACAAAAATGTGTGAAAAAGAAATAGTCTCTGCTTTAATTCAGAATTGTAACTCACAGTCTCTCCAGCTCCTTCAGGTCCTGGAACGCTCCTCTCTCTATTGTGGTGATTTTGTTCTCCATTAGCTGCCTGAAAGAGAAACACCAGCGGAAAGTGAAACAATAAGCACTGGACAGCAAAAAAAAGAGATTAATAGAGAGACACATGAGAGCTGAGAGCTGACAGGGTGATCTGATGACACCTTGAGAGTCCAAAGAAAAGACGGCTGGGTGGGGCCGCAGATAAGAGAGAGTAAAGAGGAAGAGAAGGTGAAGGAGAGTGAGATAGGACACGAGAGAGGAGAAGAGATTGACATTGGAGAGGGGAGAGAGGGAGAGATGAAGAAGATAGGTGGCAATGGGTGTGAATTAAAAAAAGAAAAACTGATTGTGGAGATGGTAAGTGATAGAACGTTGAAGCAGCAGGAGAGAGAGAGAGAGAGAGAGAGAGTGAGAGAGAGAGAGAGAGAGA